TTAAAATACACAGTATATTTAATAAAATGTTATTTCTCTTTTCTAAACATTTAATTTTAAATACTYTTATTAATAGACACTCTTAAGCAATCATTTTTAGGGGGTTCTCCGTATTTGGAGAATTTTATATTCTCTCTTCTACTTTCTTTATTTTGGAGAATATATTTGAGAAAAAATAATCTGTAAAATCTCCATTTTTTTCATTTTSAAGAATCTGATAAAAATGATCTAACCATACATCGGGAGAGAAGGATGCGTGGGGTCGAATTTGCTTATTCAGTTTCTATAAGTGCAACATTTATTCGTTTAACCAAATGTTTAGAATCTTAATATAAAATTTTAGTTCCTTTAAAGTTTTTACCGTTTTTCAATTTTTCCGAAGGTACAAAAATTGCAACTTTTTTGGTATATCCGCCCCGCCCCGCCCCGCCCCGCCCCGTGGTAAAAGCTAACAGACCAAAAGATCCAAATACAATATATATTCTTTGGAGATCCTCGTTCCTCGTTAGGGTCAGGGATGTGAATGTGATCATATTTTCCGGCATGAATAGAAAAAGTGATGAAAATCGGAGACCAAGGACGGGGGCGGGGATTGGGTTCCCGCCCCATTCCAATACCTATTCGTTAAAATACCCATATGTTTTTAGCTAAGAAAGTTGGGGTCTTTTCATTCATAAGGCACATTGAGCACTATAAAAATATCTCTAAAGAATGTATTTGAAGTGCAAAATGTCTTTTCTTCCAAAAACTGTAACAATTTTGACAAAAAATGGATTATAATATTTTATAATTATATATTTAGATTAAAATATATACTAAGGGACCGTTTACTAAAAACTTATCCAGGTAAATGTTTATCAAGTCACATTACTTTACCAGATAAATAAGAAATAACTGATCAATATTTATTTGTATTTGAACATAATTATCAGTTGTTTTTATGAATTTCAAATGTGAAACTTTAAGTAGAGATGGAAATTCAATTTGCGGGAACGTAGTACCCGCTTCTGATCGATTGGATATTCCCTGACTTGGYTGGTAATGGGGCAAGGACGGGATTGATGATACACATATATACATACATGTACATATCTTGGAAAGGTTAAAAAACACATTTATTTCACGAAAACACAAGAATACCCTAATGTGATGTATAGTCTATCACATGTGATAMTAAATCATATACGACCTTTGGTGCAACTTAGGTTGTGGGCCAAGTCRCTCGCACACCATTACGCCCCCTCATGTATGTTATCACATGTRATAARAGTGCTCTCAATACGATACTATAATCTATCACATATGATAYTAAATCAGAGACACWCATGACGTTCAACGCAACCTAGGTCACAAGACAAGTCGTYCGCACCCCACCAATCCCCCTCACACTATTTTTACTATTTTTTCCTAAACACAACTTGATGGGTTCCCTATACTGACATGTATTCCTTCCCTCGAAACTTGGTAGGGTCTATATGTGGCGCGGTCTAGGGAAGAATAAACTTGAGCAGGGTCGAGGGATACATCTCCGCCTCATTTTCATAGACCTTAACTTCAAAATTTACACACACAAATACATACATATATATATATATATATATATATATAAAATAAGTTGTAAACTTGAAATTAAAGAAATTATATATTATTTATTTATATAATAAAATGTTTTTTTTACCAACAATGTTACTATAGATGTAGACAAGTGTATGATTTAAGGCACTAAGTTGGTGGTGTGTTTTGGTTTGGTGGCCACTTACTTTGTAATGGATGAACCAAAACCCACTTGATTTGATACAAACAACATGATCACACTTTGAACCTAATCTCTTCAAAAAATTGGTTCACTTTCTTTATTTTTTACCAAATTAAATCAAACCTAAAATCCCATTCATTTCATATTAAAACATATCTACAATCAAGTAATTGWTTAGTTTTAGGTTTTTCTTTGCGGTTAGGTTATTAAAGATGTACAGATGGTAGTGGAATCAAGTACTAGTCTAGGCCTAAGTCACCCACAAAAAGGACTGGCCAGTTGACATAGTTGATAGCAGAGCACATGTTTGTAAGAAGTGCGGTTAGGATCKATCCTCATTTGGACTGATTATAGTYTTGTCRGACTAGAATTTATWTGTATTTTTTCAATGTAATTATGGATTTTTCTTGAACATTGAAATTTGAAGATATAACCTTTGTTTATAYTTTAGAGTTATAATACTGTCGATTAAA